AATACACAAAATAATGATCTTTAAAAAAAAGCATCATATGACCCCTTTAATGGTTAACAATCAGTTAACAAGCGTCGGTTGTCGGTTAGGAAAAATAACCGAAATGAACATCCCTAGTACACATCAACCCTATAATGATAAAAATCCACCCAGTGGTTTTTTTTAAAAATCCCCTTTCTCAAATCAGGCTGTTCTGAGATTTCTGTCAGAATGACGTAGTTCTGCACAGGCCCCTCCCATGATAGTTGATTGACAAGGCTGTCTTACCTTAGACCCGTCCTGAGTGAGCTGTCATCAGTCCGCCATTGTCGACTCCGGTGCAGGGGAAGACAAGAATGTCTCCGATTAAGCGATTGAGGTTTTTCGTTGCTAGATGTAATAGATAGCAGTCGTCATTTACTACCTACATCTGAGCCACTGAAGACGCACAGGATTAACGTTACTTTCGTTTTTGAAGGGAATGCGCAGATCCCGATCGACCTAAATGCGTCTATGTTTGCGCGAATCATTCATGATCCAGCTTCATCTACAGAATAAGTGAGTATAAGGGTTTTTTTTAGGAATCTTTGCAAATCGCCTTTCCTAAAATGTGCTATTTAGCTAGTTTCGCGGCTGAAGTTTACAGTCTGCTCGTCATCCCACGGAAGAGAGGGGCGGGGTCAGCAGAGCTCTTTAGCATTTAAAGCAACATGTACTAGAACGGTGTGCTGAAAACAGAGCTTATTTTAACAGGGTAAAAAGGGTGTTTTTTACACTACCATTGAGAAATTTTAACCAAAGTATGTTATAGACTTTTCATTAAGTCCCTAAAGAATCATATCAACTTGTGGAAAATGGGCATCTGATGACCCCTTTAAATCAAGATGCATTTGCTTGAGAAGCATAGTGACAAAAAATATAAAATGTTGTTTTCTAAAATATGTATAAAAATTTAGTTTTTTGTTAAAACAAGAAATAATATCTGCTAGTGGGGTAATAACATGGTCACAGGGACATCAAGTTTTTTTTATATATTGACTGATTTTTCTTATTTTAAGCAAAAACTCACTTAAGTTTTATACATATTTTAGAAAATAAGATGTAGCATCTTATGTCATTTTGCTTCTCAAGTAAATTCAATTGAATAAAAATCAAATAAATATCTTGATTTAAGAATGTTTAGATATTTGTACTGGAAAACAAGACTTTCTTACTGTGTAAGATGATAATTTTTTGCAATACAGGAGGTGTCTACATCCAAGTGTAGAAAAGAAATCACTATTTCACACAGCGCACCACTGCTTATATATCACTTATATATTGCCTACAAATGCCACCCACTGCCACTTTTATGTTTTCAAAACTTAAATGTGTTTTTCTGCAAAGTTTTTTGTTGTTTTTTTTCCGCTTCACTTAGATAATGTTAAATAGCAGGTTAACGTCGATATTTATATATGCGTGTGTGTGTGTATGTATATATATATATATATATATATATATATA